CAGACTGTGATCAACCCACTCAGCCCACTCACCATGCTCATCCGTGTTTTAGGGCTAGCGTACAAACAGGCTCACCTAGAAAACTCCACGGAGCTCCCATGTGCACCAGCATGGGGCAGAGCAGGAGGAAGACAGTCCCCAGGCACACAGAGGTGGAGGCCAAGCCAGGAACTCTAGGGAGACTCTCCCGTCTTCAAGCCAGGGCCTTGGTGACTGAGGGAACCCAAGCGGACACCTGGCTGACAGTTTCTCTGGCTGCACATTCACGCTTTGCATGTTGTGAAGCAGCTTCCGTGACTTGCTTCATTTATGCCATCTAAACATGGGTGCCGACATCAGCTCACCCACAGTCCCAAACACTCTGAGCTTACAAAGAAGAAAGAGAAAAATCGAGAAAGAGCAACAGGAGAAGCCACAGCAAGGAGCGGCAGCTTATGCCACAAAATTCACAAGGAAACAGGATCCTGTGTGTCAGAGGTTTGGATGTCAGATCGGGGCGTGGACGGACTCAGCCCTTTTCTCTGGCCTGTTACCATCTTTAGGAACCCTGACTGTGTCCTGCTCCATGCCACCTTTCTGATACCCAACTCTGCATGTGCTCAAGGTCCGGCTGAAGCCAGGCTCTGTGGCTTCCTTTCGGAGCAGTGGTTCCCGGCCCTGAGTTTCCAGCAGTCCTGAGCCATGCTGAGCCTGACACCACCCCAGAGCCTCCCTGCCCCAGAGCCGGGCACCAGCCATCGTTACAGCTCATGGGCGAGTCCACCTCATGGCCGAGGTTTGAGACACTCTTCTAGAGGCATTGTGAATATTATTTCTCCAGTTTGAGTTTTTAAACCAAATTTTCCCAAAGAAAGAGGTTGGGATCCCCTCTCCTGAGGTCATGGAAAGCGCACCCTGAAGAATCTAAATGCAGAGTTCCTCAGCCCAAGCCAAGGAGGCTGGAAGGCTGCAGGCGGCAGCACAGCAACAGCTCCCACACCAGGCTCGTTCCTGTGGGGCACGATGACCCTGTTTAAGGAGAAACACAAGGCCCCGCGGCACGACCTGCTGTGTACTTTAGGTGTCTTGTCCTGGCATTTAATGGGAACATATCCTGTTTGCCACTGGGGAAAATGTTTCTTAGAACCAGCCAATCAGTTCCTTGTCTCCCATGTGTTTTGCTGCAGTTAAGATGTGGCCTCACACGGCCCTGTAAAGGGAGTGCTGTGCGAGAACAGGGCAGGCCTGGGCTCTGCAGGCCCAGCTCCCCACAGTAAACACACTGTCAGTTTTAGGACTCAGCGTCTTCCTACATAATTGTGGGACGGAATGCTCAGCACAAAGACACATCGTTTTTCAACTTCTCCCAAAAGTTTTCATAACACTTTCCATTAAACATTGAGATATGCACAATGGCTGCTACAGCCCCTCCTTGGAAGTGAATAACCAAGTCACAAGAGACAATTCTTCTGGTCCACCTGGCCATGTTCTTAGGGACTCCCCGAGCTCCAAGTGATCCCAGTCCTTTTCTAAATATTCCCAAACCATCGTTTCCATAATGCCACGAGGGGACTTGCCCAGGGCTAATGTGAAGCTCGAGAATCTGAGGAATCCCTATTCTTTTCCAATTTGACAACTAAAACTCCAGCCTTCAGGTCCTGATGTGCCACCAAAATTCCCTCAAAATTTCCGGCAACTTCGGATGCATATTTACTCTTGAAAGAAGCTGAGTTTTCCTGTGGAGTGAGGGTAGCAGAGCAAAGACTTGAGTTGCATCTTGAGGCTAGGCCCTGGGTTTGACCAGCTGAGGGATGAAGGCGATAAAAATGACACAAAAATAGCTTGACCAACAAGGTATGGATGGCAAAACTGGGGTGCAGGGGGCAAGGAGGAGCCCAACCAGGAACACTGGGCCAGGAAACAGTGACACTTGAATCCCTAAAGGATGTCACCCAGCGGGCGAGAAAGAACAGTAACCAACTCTTGTCTATTGGGGTCCCCTGGCCACTGCTCTCTCCTGAGCGATCCTTGCTGGTAGGGGTACTGCCATTTACACCTCTGAATCCCCAAAACTCCTACCCTGAAACATAAAGATTACATAAATGTTTATTGAACAAATACATGAATGGAAGGGTTGGCTTTCAGGTTTGTTTATTTAATATAATTGTCAACAGTGTATCTATTCTTGTCTTAAAAAAAAAAAACTCTGTGCCAGGCCTTTGGAGTCACCCCCAGGCCCCACTTATGAGGCAGTGCTGTCATTGTGGGCTATTTTTAAAGCTCTCACAAAGCACCAAGTCTGTTCTCGACTACTACTCCCCACTCCTGAAATCAAGCTTGGATGTTTAGGGAGCTGTTGACAAAAACACATGGAAGCTAAATTTAGCCTAGAAGGACGCAGAGTGGCCTCTCTCCTGGACTCCCCTCAGAACCCCATCCCTTTTTAAAATACCCCACGACAAATTATATCAAGTACAAAAAAAAATCCTCCAGTTTAAAGTGAAATGCAAACTCAAGCAGGGTCGTATTAAAGTTGTGCTTGAGCCAGGTATGGTGGCACACCCCGGAATCCTAGCGCCTAGGGAGGCGGAGACAGGAGGATCATGAGTTCAAAGCCAACCTCAGCAACTTAGCTAGGCGCTAAGCAGCTCAGTGACACCCTGTCGCTAGGTAAAATACAAAAAAGGACATGGGATGTGCCTCAGTGGTTAAGTGCCCCTGGGTTCAATCCCTGGTGCTGATAATAATAATAATACAGTTGTGCTTGAATAAGTCTTTCAGAAATCTAATCATAAATAATCAGTTGTAGAAAAAAATGGCCCGACGGCTATGCTTAGAGAAATGAAATATCCGAGGAGCCTAACACTGCTACTAAAAAACGGAGCAACTATGTACGGCTCATGTCCAGGCGGCCCGACCCCAGGCTTGGCTGTCCCTCACCGACATGAGCCTCTGAGGACCACCCAGACAGACAGACAGACAGGGCCCATCGCCCCAGCACATCCTCTGTGGCGCAGGAGTGGGTTTGACCTTTTGTGGGCAACCTCTGGGCCTCGGGTCGGTCTGTGCCCACAGTGGTGCCTGGACTCAGTCCACGCCAAGGGTGAAGGCACGCCCTCCTCTGCCGGACTCCCTTGGTTGGAGGTGTTCAGGAAGGGGCAGCCCAGAGACCAGGTTACTGTCAGAAATAAAGAGCCTGTYCCCTCTGGGGCCCACAGCTCTGGTGGAGCTCAGAGAGGATGGGGAGTCACGGGCAGCCTCCACGTGCAGAACAGAGACAGGACATGGGGTAAGAGGCTGTTGGTGAGTTTTGACTGCGACCAAGGAGTGCTGCCTGGATGAACTCTCCAGCTTGACTTCACGTCTGCCTTCCTGTCGCTCCTGAGCTGTTTACTGGATTGCAACACCACATGGGCACGAGATGCGTGGGTCCCGTGTCTCCTGCTGGCAGGGCMTGGATGGCGGATATATCACCCTCCCTGGGCTCAGCTCTCCTGGCAGACCTCACTGTTCCTCCCTCGGCCAGCCAGGCACAGCCCTCCTGACCCTCTTCCTGCCTTTATCATGATGCATGTGGACAGACCGACTTCCTAGGGAAAATGAGCAAGAGCCATAAAGTGTGTGTGTGTGTGTGTGTGTGTGTGTGTGTGTGTGTGTGTGCGTAATAGTTTGATTTACAATATAAGGTGGGAAAAGAGCTTTATTTAAAGCCCTGAACTAAACTGTAGTAAATAACAACTATTCCTATACAAAATGCTTGAGACCAGAAGTGTTTGAGATTTTAGAGTTTTTCAGATTTTGGAACATCTGTGTAGATTTTACTAGTTGAGCACCCCGAATCCAAAACACTCCAAAATCCAAAATTACATATCAAAAAGGTTCAGATTTGGGAGAATTTTTAGATTTTCAGATTAGGGATGCTCAGCATATGGTTAGTTATTAATTTTTTTAAAAAAAACTAATTGTTCGTTTTGTGTTTTTTAATTGTGGCACTTCTCATCTTGAGCAAGGATGCACATTTAGGGATATATTCTCAGACACTGGAAGTAACTACAGGCCGCCGCCACCTCAGAGGATGCCTGAGGGAAGTCCTGGTGTCCCACCGAGGGACACTCACGTAGAGCCTGGTCATTTGCAGCTCCAGCTGGGCCTGCTTCTTAGGGGCTGATGTAGCTCTCAGACCAAATGTCCACTCACTGGTGGCCACAGCCACAGAGACAGAGAGTGAGACAAGAAGCAGAAGGAGGCCCTGCAGAGTGGGCAGAAGAGGCCTCRCCTGCTTTTTAATGGTGTATTAGTAAGAATTACGAATGAGCCTTTGCTGGGAGGGGTTGGCTAGCTCTCTCCACTTCAAGACCAGAGTCAACTTTTTCCTGCAAAGAGCTGGAGAATAAAACCGTTCTGTTTTGTGGGCCATCTGTCACTGTCAACCTATGCAAGCCTGCCAGGCTGAGTTTAAAGCAGCAGCAGACAACATGGATATGAATGAGTCGGAGGGGATCCAGTAAACTGTATTCATGGACACTGAAATTTGAATTCCTGTCATTGTACATGTCAGGAAATAGTCCTCTTTTGATTTTTTTTTTTTTTTTTTTTTTGCCCAAGCATTTATAAATTGGAAACCATTCTTAGTTCCCAAGCCATTCAAAAACTGAGCACGGAGAACACCGACAAGGGAGGGCCTTTCAGCTCCATCCTCCTGACAGTGGAAACTATGAGAGAATACACTCTGAGCAGCAGAGAGGCATCTGGGGAGTCATCCACCCAAACAGCAGATGAAAGAGAAGAGTCCATCACAGCTAAACGTGTGTGCTGGGCATCTTCCCCAGACACGCGGAGAGCAATTTTGAGATAGACAGATGTGTCTTTCTCTGAAGCTAGATAGAGTCACAGGGGTGGCAGAGCACTGTGGCATCTCAGTGATCACATGACCCTGGTCCTATCAAGTAACCATTATCACATCAGAGTCCACAGGAGTTATAAATATACCACCATCGGGCCCCAACTGCAGGACAATTGAGTAATGACAATAGAAATAGCTCACACTCTACAAGACCATCTTTCCCCTCCTCAAGACTTGTTCTGAAATCCACTGCTTTGTAATGGAGAGACGGCCAGAGCCCGTCACAAGAAAGCTTCAGATCTTTCAGAAGATGGAAAAAGAGCCTCGGGTTAGAGCAGGGTCCCCGGAGCTGGAGTACCATGCCGCACTGGTGGCAGGAGACCTGGACCACATTCAGCCTCTCATGGACCAGTTCTTCCAGGATGCCAACATAGTGTTTGAGATCAGCAAGGATGAGATGGAGTGGCAGGTGAAATCCCCAGCTACGTTTGGGCTGTCAGGTACCCTCTACCTTTAAAGCTCAGTTGTGTGTTTCTAAGGAGCTACTAACACTCTCGGAACGTACGGGGCGCGTGTGTTTGTCGGGCAAGTGGACACTGTGTTTAAGGAGAGTCTCTAAGCAAAGGACATCTGTAAACGAAATTTGGTCTTTGTGGGTTTTAAGATGTGGGGTTTTGGTGATGGGATATGAGAGATGCAATTAGAAAAGCAAAACCACCAGTGAGAAATGCCCATCTGATAATGCTCCATCTGCCTCTTGCCTAGAAAAGGGAGCTGGCTTAGATGCCGATGTGCCAGCCCCTACACTTGGCAGCCTGGGAGGCAAGAGCCAGAGGAGGAGAGTCAGGCCCCTGGCATGCAGCTCTGTGGAAGGCCCTTCTATGAATCCATGATTGCCACAGCCTCAGGGAGAGCTGTGCCCCAGCCACCCCACACATAAAGGTCAAGAGGCGCACAGCAGACCTTCCTCCTGGAAGCGAGGGAGGCTGGAGAATGAAACCCCAGGTCCTGGTGTCACATTTGTCTGAGTACACTCTTGATGCCTGGATGTGGTCACCTGGGCCCAGGCAGGCAAGCGAGCCCCCAAGGGAAGAGAAGCCTCCCCCCCCCACCTGGATGTGCAGATGCTTGCTGACCACCTGGCTGCATCCAGGCTTCTTGGCTGGCGGTTGCACTGGGACCCCCCTACCCAGGCCCATGTGCTAGAATCCACTGCAACTCTGCCAGACATGGGAATTTGAGAATCTGCTGCCAGTTGGGCCAGGGGCCAGTGTCCATGCCCCTGACCTGTAAGTGTCTGGCAGACAAGGAATGTGGAAGGTCCATGTCCAGAGACGCAGCATGATCTGGTTTATACCTCACAAGGGGAGAAGAGGATAAAGCAGAGCACCCTGGGAGGACTGGGCAGCCCTAACCCACATGAGGAGACAGGGCTGCAGGGAAGGCAGGCGCCATTGCATCAGGCTCACTGCCTCCCAGCTGAGCCTCTCCAGGACCCTCTCCTTCACCTGCCCCTGCCCCGAACCAAGAATGCCACCTGCTTCAATACTTGAGCCATGTTTGTGTTATTTTGCAGGCTGGGGATTAAACCCAAGGCCTTGAGCATGCCAGACAAGCTCTCTACCACTAAGCTATACCACAGCCCTATTTATGTTTTATCTTGAGGCAGGGTTTCACTGAATTCCCCAGATTAGAATTTGATCCTCCTGCCTCAGCCTCTCAGATAAGTGGGGTAGCAGGTGAGCACCACCACACATGGATGCCACCTGTATCTTTTTAGTCACATGATTCCTGGCCCTGCACTTACTCATATGCTCAAGCCTCAAATTTCAAATAGATGCTAATTTTAACCCATCTCTTACATGTCTGAATTCAAAGTCTGGGTTCTATTTTCCTCAGTAACCTCCCTGCCCCTAAGCTCTGCCGCTTTCTGTGGCACAGCTGCCCAACCGAAGGCACAGCCTGCCAACAAAGAAGGGATGGGAAATGCAGCCCAGAGACTTAGCACTGGCCTGAGGCTCTGTGCACACTGGGAAGGGAGGGAAGATGGGGCAGCCTGGACCCCAAGCTCTTGGGCCCAGCTCTCCAACTTCCCTGAAGCAGAAATRGCCCTGGCTGAACAGTGCACCTGCTCTGCACTCTCCTGCACAAAGACTTCCTGGTGGCCAGTTCCAGCCCCCCATGGCAGCTCTGAGGAAGGGTGTGCTCTGGGTACAGGCTGTAGGTTCACAGTGGCCAACTCCTGCAGCCCACAGTCCCAGGAGCAGTTGGCATGGGGAGTGCACAGTGAGAATCTTCAATCCATGTTCGTCCTGGTGGGAGACCAACAGGGTCAGGGAATTATGCGAAGCTAACTCAGACTTTCTTCTGAGAGGGCTGCCCTAGAATCCAGGCTCTCTTGGCCTACTGGAAGCTCCTCGTTCTCTTTCAGGACCTGGGGAAGGTGCTGTCCCTACCTCTGGCTGAGTCAGAAACCCACCCATGGCATTTCCATCAGTCTAAGGAGAAACTCAGGAATCAAGGATGGGTGAACAGAGCTGATGGGGAAGAGTTGGGAACTTAGCATGTCCTGCAAAAGTCAGTAAACAGACTTCATGTCTCTGGAAAATAAATGCAATCAAAGAACCAAGAGTGGGCCCGTGCAGGAATGTAGAGTACTGCTGTCATTAGGACTACCTCCATCCTGCCCTCTTCAAGTCTGACTCAGAAATCAGTGGGAAAGGCAGCTAAATCCCATGCAGGACCCTAGCCCTGGGCCTGTGGTCACCATCACTTCACACCAGGGACAACAGGCCCCTGCCTCCCCCACCTGAGGGGGCAACAGCTCCAGGCTGGGCCCTTGGGCCAAGGGGCAGGCTGAAACTGTGCACCACACATGGGAGGTAATTAATGAGTGGTCTTTCAAAACTGCTCAGCATGGGTCTTGGGAAGGCRGTGGCCTGCAAAAAGGGCCTCCTCTGCAGCTCATTACGGCCATGGTATTGATTCTCCCATCATTATCAGAAGGCCTTCCTGCCATGAGAAATCCTTGATGTGTATTCACCAGGGACACCTCCCCCCATTTCCACGAGTGCTCCTGGCTGCTAACAACCTTCCACGGGCTTTTTGAAAGCACCAAAGTTTTCAGAGAAGTGAAATGTATAGCACCTGCTCCATTCATCCCTCAAGAAAGAACAACCCTATATATACACACACCCCTCAAAAGCGCAGAGAAACAAACCAGAATTGTGCTGAATGTGGAAGGCCACATCAAAGAGGCCTTCGAAAACTCAGCCACTTCCAAGGGGGCTAAACTTTCTCCCAGTGCTTTTCTTGGACAATCTGGGTGAGGTGGGTCAGTTTGTTTTGTCTGTTTGTCTTCTCTTCATCATAAAGAGGTAAGTTTGGCAGTTGACCCAGATAGGGCTGAATTCTGGAAAATTCCACTGCCCACTCTCCTCTCTCAGGTCATCCCTAATTCGGAGCCTGGAAAATGTGAATTCTGCCCTTAGATTCTCCCTCTGCGTCGGCGGGGTGGGCTTCTGACTACTTGAATCTTACCAGCTTTCTCAGTCAACCCCATATTTGGAAAGCCTCTTCCTTCCCAGCTACCCCACAACCTTTCGGTTTCAGCTGTACCCTTCCCAACCTTTCCTTCTCTCTCTCTTCCCTGTCTCCACCTCGGTCTTGCTCAGTGTGTCTCACAGCTCTCTGTCCCTCTATACTGTCGGGTGTGTCCCCTGCATGTGCACCTGGTACCTACCGCCAAGCAATTGTCTTCTGCTTCTCTCGCCTTAGTGTAGCGTGGCCCCATAGGCTCCCCACCCAACCCCATCATTTCACACCTTACCCACCTCTTTCCAGGCCTCTGGACCCTGGAGTACAAGCGGGAGCTCACCACGCCCCTGTGCATCGCAGCAGCCCATGGCCACACCGCCTGCGTGCGACACCTGCTCTCCCGCGGCGCTCACCCCGACGCCAGCCCTGGAGGCCGCGGGCCCCTGCATGAGGCCTGCCTCGGGGACCACACGGCCTGCGCCCGGCTGCTACTACAGCACGGCGCCGACCCGGACCTTCCCAGCGCCGAGGGCTTGGCGCCCCTGCACCTGTGCCGCACGACCGCCTCGCTCGGGTAAGAGCTCCTGGGTGGGGGACAGCCGCGGCCCCGGACTCCAGCCACACCTAGGACCCGGCCTCGGGACTCCTCCCGGACTCCGACCCTGGGCCGGGACGCGCCCTCGGCCGCCAGTCCCCGGACCCGAATACGCCGGGGCCCCTTCCCCAGCTCCGGTCCCACATCCCAGATCCAGGACCCCTGACCCTGGACCCCAGACTTGGCCCCAGGCGCGCACTGGCCCCGCCCCCAGGCCCCGCCCCGCCGCCGGCCCCCGGGCGCGTTAATTAGCGCTTGATTGCGAGCGCGGGGAGGCGCCACGCCGCGGTAATGAGCGCGCTGATCGCGCCCGCAGACGCGCGCTGGAGAATGCTAAAAGGCCGCTGGCGGGGTTGGGGGCTGAAAAATTAGGGTTTTTAATGATAATTTTATGCAGAATAATTGTCACAGTGTGACATAAATGGTTAGCTCCTCGGGCGGGGGCTTCCGAGGCCCGCGGGAAGCGGAGCCGTGCGGGCCTCGCCCCCGCCCAGGCTGTGCGGCGCCGGGTTCGCGGCCCACACCGCAGTCCCCGACAGCGTCCTCCACTCGGGGACCGCAGTGTCTCGGCAGAGGCGGCGGGGCCCAGTGTCACTGCACAGGACTTGGCTCAGTGTCCCTCTGGCATCGCTTAGCGTTGACCTTGCTTTTACTCCAGTATTCCCGTCCCCGGCTTAGGTTCTGACTATGGGCTTGCCTCCTTGGTGTGAGGATCAAATGAAATCATCCAGGCAGAGTGGTCGTGTCGCCCTGCTGTTCCCCCACCAACTGCCCTCATTACACAGGTCTCCTGCACCCGGAGGGCAAGGGCAGCGGGCAACAGGACTGCTGGGCTCCTGGGCACGGAGGCAGGGGCGCCACCAAAGAAGAGTCCCCGGGTTCAGCGTGGGGACTCGGGACTCAGACCCCCACCACTCTGGAGAGTGAGCGAAAGAAACAGGGTTCTGGCTTTGGCAAATGTGGGCACAGGTACACATTCGCTAACCGTCGCCTTCCTGCAGGTGGTGAACCCATCCACCTCACCAAAAGTTCCTAGGCCCCACACTCTGTCTCCCATCCACCCACTGAGCTGCTTTCTGCAATTTTCAGCAATTTTTTTTTATCAATTTCTAGAATTTTGTATTAATGGATTATGCTCTTTTTTYTGTCTGCCTTCTTTCGACATAATTATTCTGAGACTCATCAGTGTCATGGTGTGTATCTATAGCTCCTTCCGGTTTATCTTGGAGTACTGTTCCATGGTGTGGCTGTACTACTGTGCTTATCCATTTACAGCTAAAATACATTTGATCATTTCCAGTTTCCAGCTATTACAAATAAAATGGCTACTAACCCTCTGTATGGGCATGAACTTTTATTTCTTTTGGATAAATACACAGGATTGGAATGGGTGGAACATGTGACAGGATTCAGAAGATTCTTTTTAAGGAACTGCCACACTAATTTCCATAGTGCCCTTTACACTCCCACCGCCCATGTCTGGGGTCTGCTTCCCATCCTCACCAGTTCTTAGTGTGGTCAGCCACTAACTGCAGACACTCTAACAGGGGTATAGAAGTAGCTCTTTGTGGTTTGGGTTGGTGTTCCCTGATGACTAGTGATATTCAGTCTCTTTCAGTTTAATTACTTACCATCCGTGTGTCTTACTAGGTGAAGTGTCTGTTCAAATCTCTTRCCCATTTTTAAAATTGAGTTGTTTGGGTTTTTTAATTGATTTTTCAGATTTCTTCATATATTTTAGGTAAAAGTCCCCTTGTTACATATGTGATGAACAAATATCATCTCCTAGTTTCTGGTTTTTTTATTTTCTTCTCTGAACAGTGTCTTTTGAAGAACAGAAATTCTTCATTTTGAATCCAATGTATCCATTTTTTTTTCTTTTAGGGGTTGTATTTAAAAACTTTTTGCATAACCCAAGAAGCTCACAAAGAGTTTCTCCTTTTTTCTTCTATGAGTTTCATTATTTTACATTTTAAGATTTAAGTCTGTGTGCATTCAGCTTGACATGATGGCAGTCATATTGAGGCACTTCTGCCATGATGGCCCAAGGTAGCCTATTTTTCCTGCAGTTTCCCATTCAACTATAAATAGACAAAAACACTAGAGTTGTATATGGAGCTTTATAACCAGACCCTGGCTCCAGGGATATGCCTGGAGCTTTAATATTAGCCTAAGATAAAACAGGATCAAGGATAAAGTCACTTTTGTCCTCACCCATAAATATGTCCCTTTGGTGACTCATATTGCAGGAATCCAAGTGTTAAGTCAGTCCCCCAATAAACTGCATTCTGTGCAATCCTGGATCTACCTGCCTTTTCCCTTCAGCCTCGACTGCCGTGATGAACAAGGCCGAACTAGCAGCTTGCCCCARAGAGTGATGGGAGATTGGAAGAAATAAAGAGTCAACACATGCAGACCTTGAAGATAAAACACTGGGGTCGGGTGGAGTGCTGCTCTCTGATGGAGAAGCAGATCTAAAGAATTACACCAGCAATCTTTATATGTCTCTAAATCAGACTAAAGACTATCCAGGTGGTTTTTCTTTGTATTCATGAAAGTTACAGAGTTAGCAATAGTATGCAGCTACTTCCTCAGTTATATGCTACAGTTGCAATGTGCAAAGTTAGGAGCCTTGGTAGCTCAAGAAAGTCCATTGTTTGAAGTTGCTAATTCTCAGGCAGATTCAGGAGCAGCAAAGCTGGTCAAATGCTGTGGCTATCTCAGCAAGGAAGTTCTCTCATTCCCAGGAGCTGCCCTGCCTGAGAATAAGGTCGAGACTGATAAGACTCTAGCATGGAGGACATCTCCATAGCAACCAGGCATCCTATGCCTTTGCACAGAAACTTTCCCAGTCACCAAGTATACTTGGTGGCATACCACAGCCATGAAGTCATCAGGGACCCCAATCTCAGACACTGGTCTCCCAGTCACTGTCACCACTCTCCACATGTGACAACATCTTGGGGCTGGTCCTCACACAGCAGAACTGGGCTGCTCCAGAACAATGGCTGTGCTCCATTGGGAGTTGATTTCTGGATCTTATAGAGTGAGGTATGGGGTGAAGCGTGTGTTTGGCTTGTTTTTGCCTATGGGTGTCCAGCTGGTCCAAAACTGCATATCCAGCGGGGTGTACAGAGTTTGACCATTTGTCAAAAACCCTTTACTTTCTTCACTCTGTTCCCTTTGTACTTTTGTCAAAAACCAATTGACTCCATACGTGTGGGTTTCATTCTGAACGGTCTTCTCAATTATACACAAGAYGCCAGGAACCGCTTTTTGTGTGAACAGTGAAAGACTAGCTAGAGGTGCCAGCTCCTCATGGTCCTTACTCCGTCCCACACACCAGAGATGATGACATCCAAGCAAAGGGGGCTGGATGGTGGCAATGTGGGTGGAAGGCTGCCCCAGGGCTGAGATCCAAGTCTAGACCTGGGCTTTGCAGTTTAGGGTCCACAGCTCTGTTCTGAAGGGGTGAGGCAGGAAGGCCCGCAGCTCATCAGAACCCAAGAGACAACAGGAATCTGTCTCACGACAGCCTTCCAGGGACGATAGGGGGGTCAGAGGGCAATGGAAGAGTCACCCCCCATCTCTCCTCTAGTTCACTGATCCATCTGGGAATTTTGACACCAATCCCACATTGTCTTGAATACTGAAGCTTCTTAATAAACCTTGAAGTCAAGAGTATAATTCTCAGGGCCATTCTTCCTTTTCAGTAGTTTGGCTAATCTAGCTCATTTGCATGCTCATATGAATATTAARTATTAAATACAGTTGGTCATTTTCTTCAAAATAGCTAACTGGGTTTTCACTGGGATAGCTATGAATTAAATCAATCTGGGGAGTACTGACATCATAAAAATATTGAGACTGGTAACCCATGGGTCCGATGCATCCCTCCATATATTTAGGTCCTATAGCTTCTCTCAGCTGTGTTTTAGTTTTCAGTGCCCAAGACTTGCAAATACTTTGTGAGATTGTTCCCTAGTCATCTTATATTGGAATCATAATATTGTTCATAATATTTTTATTCCAGCTTTGGACTATGTGTAGCTATTATATGAATCCAAAATAACMTATTTGTGTCTTAACCTTTTATCCTGCAAACTAACTAAACTCACTCATTGTTCTGGTAGCTTTTTATAAACTCTGTGGGATTTTTACATAGGAAATAAATTTTTCTGTAGGAAATATATCATCTTCAAATAAACACTTTTACTTCTTTTGCCATACAGATGTCCTTTCCTGTTTTCCTCCAGTGGCATGTTGAGTAGAGGTGGCTAGGGCAGACAGTTCTCCTTGTTCTGACCTTAGAGGAAAGCATTGAATGTCTCCTCCATTGTGTATGATATTAGATGTAAAGGCTTTATAGATTCTCCTTTTCAAAGATAGAACACTCCTCTTTATTTCTTCTTTGCTGAAGGTTTGTATTATGAGTAGATATCAAGTTTTATTAAATGATTTTCTTACATATACAGAGATGATGTGACATAATTTTTCATCTGTTAATTATAATGATTTACATTGATTTGATTTTCAAATGTCAAACCAACCTTGCATTCCTGGAATAAACCATACTTGGTCACAAAGTATTAGCTTCATACATATGTAAATACACATATGTACATGATGTTGGATTTGATTTGTTATAATTTTTCACATGTGTATATATTTTCATGAAAGATATTGGTCTATGGTTTTCTTGTAATGCCTGTCTGGTTTTGGTGTCAGAGTAATGCTGGCCTCAGAAGTGTTCCCTCCTATTTTCTGGAAGACCTGCAGTTGTCCCTTAATGTTTGGTACAGTTCTTCGTGAAGCCATCTGGGTAGGCATTTTCTTTGTGACAAGTTTCTAACTATGGATTCAAGTCCTTTGCTAGGTGGAGAACTACACAGTTTCTTCCTTTCTTTTTCAGAGAGCTTTCAATCTGTCTCTTATAAGAGATTTATCTCTTTCAACTAAGTTTTGAATTTATTGGCATA